CCCCACCGTGTCGCTGGGAGCTGGCAGCCAAACACTGACAGATGCGAAAAACTACGAGCAAACAACCGGCGAGCGGCAAGGTGGCGAGAGGCACCTCCCCGCCCCGAGAACAGAAACCGATGGGATTGCAAAACCCGCTCGGCAAGCATCAGCTGCGGCTGGAGGAGGAAATGCTTCAGCTTCCTCCTCCTCGAGAAAAAAAAATTCCCAGAGTTGCAGCCGTCCCCAGGCGTGTTGGGCTCCACAGCCGCTCCGTGAGCTCAGTGGCCAGGGCTGGGATGGACTCTGGGAACAGCAAAGGGTGCTGAGCGCCGGGCAGAACCCAGCCGGGCTGGGCAGGGAGGTGGGGAGCAGGGTCAGATCAGGGTTTGCATCCAGGGGCTGCGTTCAGCCGTCGTGAGCTGTGCTGGGCACTCGCTGTGTGTGGGGTCAGAGCTCAGCCCTGGCTGTCACAGAGTCACAGAGTGGTGGGGTTGGAAGGGACCTCAGGAGATCACCCAGTCCAACCCCTCTGCCAAAGCAGGTTCCCTACAACCAGGTCACACAGGAAAGTGTCCAGGTGGGTATGGAACATCTCCAGAGATGGAGACTCCACACCCTCCCTGGGCAGCCTGTCCCAGGGCTCCGGCACCCTCACAGGAAAGAAATTTTTCCTCAAGTTTGTGTGGAACTTCTGACATTCCAGTTTTTGCCCATCGCCCCTTGTCCTGTCAGTGGGCACCACCAAAAAGAGCCCAGCCCCATCACCTGGCATAGGACATGGCAGCACATACATTTGCACTGAGCTGCTGCCACTGTCCTGCTGTCCAGAGACACCAGCTGCTCCAGACGGGTGCTCACAGGCTGTGCCAGAACTGGGCTGGTTGAACTCAGGTTGTCCATCTCCAAAAACTGGAGTGACAGGTCCCAGAGGTTTCCCACATCCAGCTGCAGGGATGGCTCCTGCAGGACAGCAGCTCCCTGTCCCCCAACAGCCCTTGAGCAGGTGAAGCTGCTTGTGACAAAGCACAGAAAGGGAGGAGGAAGCGGGTGCACAGAGAGCAAAGAGCCCAGATCCTTCCCCAGCCGCTCACCCAACCCCCATGAGTGTGAAGCAAGAGTTGGGCCCAGCCCTGGTGCTGCAAACGCTTCCTGAGGCTTCCAGAGAAGAGCAAAGGGCAGAGGGGAGGTTTCGGGACATTCCCCAGCTCCAGCTGCTCCCGAGCTGCACCGTGAGCATCGCCCTCACCGGGAGTCACACGGAGACTCAGATCCTTCAGGTAGATCAAGGATTTCTCATCTCAGGGAGAAAAAGTGTCAGTGGCTGTGCTGGGACTGAGCATCGTGGCTCCCCAGGTGAACACGGACACTGTCTGTCCCACACTGTCAGCGGGCAGCACCTCACGATGCTCATGGCAGAGCCACAGCACAGCCCCACCAGGAACCGAACCCAGAGCTCTGGTAGCATCTGCAGGGGATGTCCCCAGAGAGGGACAGGGACCAGGACCAGCCCCAAGCCTTCAGGATGTCCCCAGAAGGGGACCAGGACCAGCCCCAAGCCCTCAGGACCCAGCAGCAGGGAGGGGAGAGTGGGCAGGGGCTTACAGCACTGGCCTGCAGCGGGCAGATGGGATGCAGGGAGGGATGCAGGATGAAGGGCAGGATGTGGTGGGATGCAGGAAGGGATGTGGGATGCAGGGATGCAGAGCAGGGATGCAGGGCACTCAGAGCACATCCCTGCTGCCTGCCCAGGGCAGAGTGGGGCTGCTCACATTTCCTGCTCACTTTCTGGCTTGGCAGCACCCACACCTCACCTTCCCCAGCCTCAGCACCAGCAGCCATCCCTCACTGGCAGGAATTATTTCAGGCTGGTGTGTCTGAAAGCGCTGTCCTCACAAAATGAAGCCTGCAAAGGTCTGCGAGTACATCAGCGTGTGCTGCATTCAAAAATCAATACAACACTTCACCAGCCTGCACACAAACTCTGCA